CTGGTCTATTGACGATTGGAAAAAAGTTTTATTCTCGGACGAAACTAAAGTTAATTTATTTGGAAACGATGGGAGAAGATACGTTCGACGACCTAAAGGTACTAGAAATGATCCACGATATCAAACACCAACTGTGAAACACGGTGGCGGCAACATCATGCTATGGGGAGCTTTCTCTTGGAAAGGCGTTGGTCCAATTTTCAAAATTGACGGCATTATGGATTCCACTAAGTATGAGGGTATTATATTAGATGTAATGCTGCCTTTTGCACGTAAAAATGTCTAGAGGATGGATCTTTCAGCAGGACAATGATCCAAAACATCGATCACAGCTCCTTCAACAAGTTTTTTCTCAGAAAAAAGTCCGAGTTTTAGAGTGGACAAGTGAATCATCGGATTTAAATCGAATAGAGCACTTATGGCAAGAGTTAAAATTGAGAATAGGAACTGAAATATCTCTCAAGAACGAATTGTCAAACTGATCGAATCGATGCCTCAACGATGTGCTGCCATGATAGCTGCAAAGGGTATGGCTACTAAATATTGATGAAAAACGTTAATTCTTATATGTATTTAAAGTTATAATATTTTGTAACTGCTTCTTCTTAAGTTTTTTGTACATATATTGAATAATTTTTGTTTTGGCCGGATATTTATGGAGAATCAAATATTATTGTTTTTGTTATAAATAATTATTGATTGTTATTTAATTATCTGAGTATGTGGTAATGTTGCACAATAAATCTACTTTACAATGATATATTGCAGTTTTCATTTTATACTATTTAAACCATAGTTAAATATAAAAATATGGTTGGCCGGATAATTTTGCATGCAACTATATATATATATATATATATATATATATATATATATATATATATATATATATTCAGCAAACAAAACAGTAATTTATGAAATCAGATGAAGAGGTCATTCAAATTCTTAGTTTAGTTAATAGTCGCGGACTCTGCCGAACAAAAGCCTAATAGGAGGACGCTGCTCCCACCCAACTCCTCTTCAAACTTCCATTGCCTCGCATGCACCAGCTACGGACGGATTTCCGATAGTCAACGATGCTACCCATTCCAAAAATATTGATCTTTCGCATAATCTGGCACTTAAAACTAAATCCGTCCTCAAAAATTGCGCTAGTAGTATGCACAAATTAAACGAGTCGATTTATTGCAAGTTTAATACTTTCTGCAACTTTTCCCGAGGTTGGTTTTTCAGGGAAGGGCGCCGTTCTAGCGCCCTTAAGGAGCAGCTGCCACTGCTCTGGATTAACGAGATTTGTGTACATGATGTGAAGAATATTAAAAGCCTTTCGACTCAGCCGTTACATGCCAGAATGAGAGGCGGAAGGACCGAATGAAGTTTGTACGTCCGTCTGTGAACACCACTAATACCTAAACTGCACACGGAATTTTCCCCAAAGCGGATATTCCCCGATCGTTGTGGCCACTCAAGGTCTTTAAAACTTAAAACTGTACTTTTAATATTTTGTAAGTACTTTACACTAATCCCCAAAGGCATTTTCAATTTTTTTTCAAAAATGGCCCCAGCATTTTACTTTAATTTGTGTTGTCTTGAATTGAACAGAGTATGCGTAAAAACATGTCATAGATCCTATTTTCATTAAAATATTTGAAATTTCAAACATTGCAGAAGTTTAACATTTTTGATACACTGTCCCATCGCAATATCTACCATCGCGTTAGTATAATTGCTAAAAGGGTCGGGCACAGAAGCTACGCATGAACGTTCAAATCCCAACCCGGGCAAATATTTTTGCGCTTTGGAAATTCGCGCAGTCTGCAGAGACTTATTGCGTCAATGTTGTTGCCACTATGAGGTAATCCCTAGAGAAGTAAACTGTTGCTGGCCGCAATCACATATGCAAATGAATTGAAGTGGCCCAGATTTTTTCACGGGTTACACCAAGATTTGCAACTTTGAATAAGTCATGTGGCAGGAAAATTTAAACACAGGGTATCGCTTAAAGAAAGATTTAGTGTTCACCTTCAACGCACTTTCTCACATTATTTTTAACTTTTGCAATTATCAAAATTCAGAGAACTAAACGCACATGAGACATGCGCCATTCTTTTAAGCGTCTCTTGTTCAATCCACGGAAAAATTAAAGAAAAAATTTGGATAGTTTTTGAGAAACTACTTTTTCTATAAATATGCTAATTTCAAGCAGAAATTAGGTACGCCATATCTACTAGGTTTCTCAAAAAAATGTTCTCGACCTTTTTTTAATGATAAACTTTTTCGAACAGATTGTGTTTAAGACGAAAAAATCTTTCTTCAATATTGGAGTTTAAGAATGATAACTTTATGCATTTTGTTTTTCAATTTTCGAAAAAAACAGAGAGAGAGAATGAGAGAGAAAAAGAAAGAGAGAAAAAGAAAGAGAGAGAGAGAAAGAAAGAAAGAGAGAGAGAAAGAAAGAAAGAGAGAGAGAAAG